GCAATGCTGAGTGTATCGATCGTGATGTACCGTGCCGAGGGATGTGCTGTGCAGCGCCTTGCTGACTTGCGAGGTATCATGCCGCGAGTGTGTTCTATAGCGTTGTGGATCGAGTCCTCCTTTGCATCCGAGTCCTGACCGAACTGATCTGGATCTGAAGCTCGAGCTGTCTCAGCACATAGTAGCTGCCACAGAGCGAATTGACAGGGGAACATGCCAGGAGAACGCGCCGCGGAACGTCCCAAGGCACGCGCCAGGCGACGTGCCAGGGAACGTGCCACGGGGACGCACCACGGGACGTGCCGACGGGACGCGCTACGGAACGTGCCAATGGACGTGCCACGGGACGTGCCAGGGGACGCGCCGCGCGACGTGCCAGGGGGACTCGCCACGGGACGCGCCACGGAACGTGCCAAGGAAAGTGCCAAGTTGCAATGCTGAGTGTATCGATCGTGCTGTACCGTGCCGAAGGCTGTGCTGTGCTGCGCCGTGCTGAACTGCGATGTGCCATGCCGCGAGTGTGCTCTATAGCGTTGCGGATCGAGTCCTCCTTTGCATGCGAGACCTGACCGAACTGATCTGGATTTGAAGCTCGAGCTGCCTCAACACATAGTAGCTGCCCCAGAGCTTGACAGGGGAACATGCCAGGAGAACGCGCCGCGGAACGTCCCAAGGGACGCGCCAGGCGACGTGCAAGGGGACGTGCCACGGGGACGCACCGCGAGACGTGCCGAGAGGACGCGCTACGGTACGTTCAAATACGTGGTCCTTGCTCGGGACAACCATGCTAGATATCCCCCTGGATGGCCTGGACACCTAAAAACACATGGTGCCAGCTGGGGAAACCATGTTAGATACACCCCTGAATAGCCTGGACACGTTAAAACACGCGGTCCTTGCTCAGAACAATCATGTCAGATACCCCCTGGGTGGCCTGGATACGTAAAAACACTCGGTTCATGCTCGGGACTACCATGTTAAATATCCCCATGGGTGGCCTGGACATGTAAAAACATATGGTTCCAGCTCGGGACCACCATGTTAGATACCCCCCTGGGTGACCTGCACACGTAAAACACGTGGTCCAGCCCACCCGGGGGGGGGGTATCTAACACGCGGTCGTCTGGAGCGCAGGAGGGCCCAGGAACGCCCAAAGGCTCCTGGAAGCCAAAAAGTCAACGAATCGATACCAAATACAAGTAAACTCTCGACTCTCGACGTTCCGTTCCGAGTTCCAGGAAAGATCCAGGAGGCATATGTTAGATACCCCCTGAGTGGCCTGGGCACGTGAAAACACGTGGTTCCAGCTCGGGACCACCACGTTAGATATCCCTCTAGGTGGCCTGGACATGTAAAAACACACAGTTCCAGCTCGGGACAATCATGTTAGATACCCCCTGGGCGGCCTGGATACGTAAAAACACGTGGTTCATGCTCGGGACTACCATGTTGAATAGCCCCCTGGGTGGCCTGGACATATGGTTCCAGCTCGGGACCACCATGTTAGATACCCACCTGGGTGGCCTGCACACGTGAAACATGTGGTTCCAGCGCGGGACCACCATGTTAGATACCCCCTGGGTGGCCTGGACACGTGAAAACACGTGGTGCCAGCTCGGGACCACCACGTTAGATACCTCATGGGTGGCTTGGACACGTAAAAGCACGCGGTTCCAGCTCAGAACCACCAGGTTAGATGCCCCCCTGGGTGGAGTGGACACGTGAAAACACGCGATTCAAGCGCGGGGCCACCATGTTAGATACACCCTCTGGGCGACCTGGGCATGTGAAAACACGTGGTTCCAGCGCGGGACCACCATCTTAGACACCACGTGGGTGGCCTCGACAGGTGAAACATGTGGTTCCAGCTTGGGACCAACATGTTAGATACCCACCTGGGCGGCCTGTACACGTGGAAGCACGTGGTTCCAGCTCGGGACCAACATGTTAGATACCCACCTGGATGGCCTGTACACGTGAAACACACATTGCTCCAGCTCGGGACCAACATGTTAGATACCCACCTGAGTGCCCTGGACACGTGAAGCGACGTGGTTCCAGCTCGGGCAGAGCATGTTAGATACCCCCCTGTGTGGCCAAGGAAATCCTGGAAAAACAAGCGAATCAGCCGAGACATCCTCGAAATTCCTGCGCGCAGGACGCGGCATGCGCGAGACATCCTCTGAATTTAGATACCCCCCTGGCCGACCTGGGCACGTGAAAATTTCGCCTGAGACATCCTCTGAATTCTGGCCCCCCACGAGGCCCCCGCTCGAGACACCCCCCGACTCTGCAAAACCAGCGTTTCGCTCGAGACATCCTCAACAGATTCTGAAAAACAAACGTTTCGCTCGAGGCATCCTCAAGTTTTGATCCGCCGGCCCACCTCGATCTCGATAATTATCCAGAAAAGAATCTCCCGGCCCACCTCAGTCATGGCACGGGGGACAATTTACAAACTAAAAGAGAACCCTGGGCCCGCGCCCTTTCCGGGAAAAAATCAACCTACCAACCAAGCGTGGATATGCAAGCAGTATGAGGGGAACCAGTGGCAGAGGGCGAAGCCCTTCAGATTAATATCCCCTGTCAACTGCGTGAAATTGTGTACGGCAACAGATGCGAAATCGCTTTCTGTATTTGTCCCAAGGTCGTAAGTTACGAGCTGCGCGTCAAACCCGCGCGCAGTAGCGCCACTCATGCGAAACGTAGCCTTGAGAATGGCGCGATCTGGCCTTACGTATATTGTCTTACCAATCAGATGCCAAGGAGCAGGTGCCATCCAATCCTCATCGCACGGCGACCTCCAGCACCAGTTCTTCCACCCTTCTTCGATGTCGAGCCTGCCCCGGCCACTGCTGCTGAACTGCAGACTGTCGCTGCCCGAGACGGCTTCTGATGGGTCGTTGCTGGGATCTCGAACCACGCTGATTGACGAAGTTTTGAAAAGAACCTTGTCCGTGTTCAACTGCACTACAGTGGACATGGAGGGGGCATCGAAGCAAGCTGTGCCTCCAATCGATTGCATCAGAAGCTGTACATGCTTTATTTCATCTTGGACCATGTGCTGTATCAGATCTTGAAGTTGGTCCCTTCCGAGTTCGGAGCACTGAAGGGCCACGATTGTGATGTTCGGATTCTCATCCAGCGCTGTCAGATGTAATGGCTGAGACGTGTAATTCGGCAGGCGCGTGTACTTGTCCCCGCTGTTATACTCCAAATTCCTACTCCAGTGCAGCACTGATCCCTGCAACGTGCCAGTAATATTCCACTGGGCGCCCCCGCCAGCCCACCACTCAACTTCGAGCGTGGCGTTGCTCAGCTGACGCGTTCGATCCGCCACCGTGCGCTAGGCATGTAGTGAAGTGTCCTCAAGTCCCTTCGAAGTATCTCCATTGACTGCTGTACTATCGTATGACCTCTCCAATGGCGCGTCATCGCTGGACACCTGTGTTTTCAATGTTTCTCGTTGCATTCAAACATGATCGACACACGGAACCGGAAGGGATTATAGAAATGTAACGCATGGCAACGTTTCCAAACACACCTGATTGGGTGACGGGCAAATGCAATGCTGAGTGTATCGATCTTGATGTACGCTGCCGAAGTCTGTGCTGTGCTGCACCGTGCTGAATTGCGATGTGCCATGCCGCGATTGTGCTCTATAGCGTCGTGGATCGAGTCCTCCTTTGCATCCGAGTCCTGACCGAACTGATCTGGATCTTAAGCTCGAGCTGCCTGAGCAGATGGTGGCTGCCCCAGAACTAATCGACAGGAGGACATGCCAGGAGGACGCGCCACGAAACGTCCCAGGGGACCCGCCAAGCGACGTGCCAGGGGACGTGCCATGGGGTCGCACCGCGGGACGTGCCAAGTGGACGCGCTATGGTACGTGTCAATGGACGTGCCACGGAATGTGCCAGGGGACGCGCCACGCGACGTGCCGGGGGGACTCGCCAAGGGACGCCCCACGGAATGTGCCAAGGAACGTGCCAGGTTGCAATACTGAGTGTATCGATCTTGATGTACCGTGCCGAAATCTGTGCTGTGCTGCACCGTGCTGAATTGCGATATGCCATGCCGCGATTGTGCTCTGTAGCGTCGTGGATCGAGTCCTCCTTTGCATCCGAGTCCTGACCGAACTGATCTGGATCTGAAGCTCGAGCTGGTGTGGTCGTGCTGGGGTGTGGTCGTGCTGGGGTGGGGTCGTGCTGGGGTGGGGTCGTGCTGGGGTGTGGTCGTGCTGGGGTGTGGTCGTGCTGGGGATGGTCGTGCTGGGGTGTGGTCGTGCTGGGGGGTGGTCGTGCTGGGGGGTGGTCGTGCTAGGGGGGTGGTCGTGCTGGGGGGTGGTCGTGCTGGGGCGTGGTCGTGCTGGGGCGTGGTCGTGCTGGGGCGTGGTCGTGCTGGGGTGGGGTCGTGCTGGGGTGTGGTCGTGCTGGGGTGTGGTCGTGCTGGGTGTGGTCTTGCTGGGGTGGGGTCGTGCTGGGGTGGGGTAGTGCTGGGGTGTGGTCGTGCTGGGGGGTCGTGCTGGGGTGGGGTCGTGGGTGGGGTCGTGCTGGGGTGTGGTCGTGCTGGGGTGTAGTCGTGCTGGGGTGTGGTCGTGCTGGGGCGTGGTCGTGCTGGGGTGGGGTCGTGCTGGGGTGGGGTCGTGCTGGGGTGTGGTCGTGCTGGGGTTGTCCGCACCCTGTGATTTATCGATCGGGTCGTGCTGGGTGACTGGGTGTGGTCGTGCTGGGGTGTGGTCGTGCTGGAGTGTGGTCGTGCTGGGGTGTGGTCGTGCTGGGGCGTGGTCGAGATGGGGCGTGGTCGCGCTGGGGCGTGGTCGTGCTGGGGTGTGGTCGTGCTGAGGTGGCCCGCACCCTGTGATTTATCGATCGGGATTTCAAAAAACAAGCGTTTCGCCTGAGACATCCTCAAATTTTAATCCGCCGGCCCACCTCGACCTCGATACTTATCAGAAAGAATCCGCCGGCCCACCTCAGTTGAGGCACCGGGGACAGGTGTACCTACTAAAAGAAAACCCTGGGCCTGCGCCCTTTCCAAGAAACATGATCGACCCACGAACCCGGAAAGGAATATAGAACCGTAACACATGGCAGCGTTTTCAAAGACACCTGACTGGGTGACGGGCAAATGCAATGCTGAGTGTATCGATCTTGATGTACCCTGCCGAGGGCTGTGCTGTGCTACGCCGTGCTGAATTGCGATGTGCCATGCCGCGGTTGTGCTCTATAGCGTCGTGGATCGAGTCCTCCTTTGCATCCGAGTCCTGACCGAACTGATCTGGATCTTAAGCTCGAGCTGCCTGAACACATAGTAGCTGTCCCACAACTAATTGACAGGGGAACATGCCAGGAGGACGCGCCGCGAAAAGTCCCAAGGGATGCGCCAGGCGACGTGCCAGGGGACGTGCCATGGGGACGCACCGCGGGACGTGCCAAGGGGACGCGCTACGGAACTTGCCAATGGATGTGCCACGGGATGTGCCAGGGGACGCGCCGCGCGACGTTCCAGGTGGACTCGCCAAGGGACGCCCCACGGAACGTGCCAAGGGGCGTGCCAAGTTGCAATGCTGAGTGTATCGATCTTGATGTACCGTGCCGAAATCTGTGCTGTGCTGCGCCGTGCTGAATTGCGATGTGTTATGCCTCGATTGTGCTCTATAGCCTCGTGGATCGAGTCCTCCTTTGCATCCGAGTCCTGACCGAACTGATCTGGATCTTAAGCTCGAGCTGCCTCAGCACATAGTAGCTGCCCCAGAGCTAATTGACAGGGGGACATGCCAGGAGGACGCGACGCGGAACGTCTCAAGGGACCCGCCAAGCGACGTGCCAAGGGACGTGCCATGGGGACGCACCGCGGGACGTGCCAAGGGGACGCGCTACGGAACGTGCTGGGGACAAGCGTTTCGCTCGAGACATCCTGCCAACATCCTCTGAATTCCTGCGCGCGGGACGCGGCACGCGCGAGACATCCTCGGAATTCCTGCGAGCGGGACGTGAAAACAAGCATTTCGCCTGAGACATCCTCTGAATTCTGGACCCCCACGAGGCCCCCCACGAGGCCCCCGCTCGAGACATCCCCCAATTTTGCAAAACCAGCGTTTCGCTCGAGACATCCTCAACAAATGTTGAAACAACAAGCGTTTCGCTAGAGACATTCTGTCAAAATCCAAAGAAATCCTGGCAAAACAACCGAATTAGTCGAGACATCCTCGAAATCCCTGCGCGCGGGACGCGGCACGCGCGAGACATCCTCAGAATTCCTGCGCGAGGGGCGCTTTTCCGTGTCGCGGTCGGCTCTGCAAAACCAGCGTGTCGCTCGAGACATCCTCAACAAATTCTGAAACCAAGCGTTTCGCTCGAGACATCCCCAACTCTGCAAAACCAGCGTCTCGCTCGAGACATCCTCAACAAATTCTGAAAAACAAGCGTTTCGCTCGAGACATCCTCAAAAATAATTTCGCCGGCCCACTTCCCGCACGTAATTTATCGCAGAATAATTTCGCCGGCCCACCTCCCGTCGAAACCGGAGGGTAAACCAACTAAAAGAGAACCATAGGCTCGAGCCCTTTCCGGGAAAAAAACGGAGGGGCACGGAGAGAGTGGGAACACGGAGCCATGCGTTGATGTGAAGGCGTTGATGCAGACGATGGCGCTGGTCTGTTCTGCGCACACCCCTCTGCGCACCCCTCGCGATGTTTCCCGCGCTTGCGGCGGCCCCAGTCTCGCTTCGCTATCCCGGCGCGGCACAGACCCCCAGGAGAGGAGGAATCCGCATCCCCACGGGCCCGGGGGCTTCGGGGCGCGATGGCCCTGCGCGTTTGTGGCGGGCTCGCGGGCGCGCGGGTCTCACGAGGCGGTGACCTGGTAGGGTTGACGTTTTGGGGGGTCGGCGGAATCGCGGGGGCGCTGGGATTTGCGCCAGAACCTCGGGAACGCTTCGCTACGCCACGCGCGTGGCAAGACCGGCTCTACGAAATGCTGGTTCTGCGAAGTGACCACTTCGGCCGCCTGTTGGACAACTGCCTCGCTGCACCCTTTACCCAGGTGGGAGAAGTTGCGCCAGACCCGGACGAATTGGCAGCTCTTGGTTTCGCGCAAGGGGATCTGGGCCCAGACGAAAAATCCTCTCGAGACGTTTTCGGGGAGCCCGGGGGCCTCGGAAGGAGCTCGGGGGCTGCTTCGGCCGATTTTCGGCTTTCTTGGGGCCGCTCCAGGGGTCGGAAAATAAACACCGAAATGGGGGTTTATTGTCCGCGGACGCGGCCGCGCCCTGGGCCATACATTTTCAAGGTTGAAACGAAACTCGGTCGCAAGGGGACCCGGGCTCAGAAAAACATGATCGACCCACGAACCCGGAAAGGAATATAGAAGTGTAAGGCATGACAACGTTTCAAAGACACCTGACTGGGCGACGGGCAAATGCAATGCTGAATGTATCGATCTTGATGTACCGTGCCGACGGCTGTGCCGTGCTACGCCGTGCTGAACTGCGATGTGCCATGCCGCGATTGTGCTCTCTCTATATATAGCGTTGTGGATCGAGTCCTCGTTGCCACCGAGTCCTGACCGAACTGATCTGGATCTTAAGCTCGAGTTGCCTGAGCAGATGGTAGCTGCCCCAGAGCTAATCGACAGACGTGACATACCAGGAAGACGCGCCGCGGAACGTCCCAAGGGACGCGCCAGGCGACGTGCCAGGGGACGTGCCATGGGCACGCACCGCGGGACGTGCCAAGGGGGCGCGCTGCGGAACGTGCCAATGGACGTGCCGCGGGACGTGCCAGGGGACGCGCCGCGCGACGTGCCAGGTGGACTCGCCACGGAACGCACCAAGGAACGTGCCAAGGTGCAATGTTCAGTGTATCGATCTTGATGTACCGTGCCGAAGGCTGTGCCGTGTTTGGCCGTGCTGAACTGCGATGTGCCATGCCGCGATTGTGCTCTATATATATAGCGTTGTGGATCGAGTCCTCGTTGCCACCGAGTCCTGACCGAACTGATCTGGATCTTAAGCTCGAGTTGCCTGAGCAGATGGTAGCTGCCCCAAAGCTAATCGACAGAGGGGACATGCCAGGAAGACGCGCCGCGGAACGTCCCAAGGGACGCGCCAGGCGAAGTGCCAGGGGACGTGCCATGGGGACGCACCGCGGGACGTGCCAAAGAGACGCGCTACGGAACGTGCCAATGGACGTGCACCGCGCGACGTGCCAGGTGGACTCGCCACGGGACGCTCCGCGGAACGTGCCAAGCAACATGCCAGGCTGCAATGCTGAGGGTATCGATGTTGGTGTACCGTGCCGAGGGCTGTGCTGTGCCTGGGCGACCTGGACACGTGAAAACACAC